CTCTTTGAGGAAACTTTGAATTATGTTTTGAATTTCGTTGTTTATGATGCTTTGATGTGTTTTGGGAAAAACCCATAGTTACGGAGTACGGTCTAATTTTGATGACTTTGAGAAATGTACGCTCTTTTAGTGGCTTTTTAATGAGATTTATTTATTCACTCTGATTTATGTGTTATTTTGCCTGATATTTTTGGGGTAGAAAAAGGGTCTTACACCTGTTATGTCGCCTAAAATAACTATGCTTCCTGGATTGTTTCCTGAAGTATAGCCTGAGCTAATAACAAAAAAATAAACCCTTCACGTCCTGATGTCATACGCTTGATGTCATAACATCCAGCCATGACATTCAGCTTCACTTACTCTTAGCTCTCCCTGCAGAACACTCTTCATGTATGTCATAACATCAGTTGTGACATTCATTCATACACCAATATTTCGCCATAAAATGCAGCCAATCAAGGGCATCTATAAACTCCCCCTTTGGCAAATTTATGGCTAAAACACTCTGTTATAGTATCAGAGATTATAAGCAGCAGAAGTCTAACATATAACTTATCATGCAAGAAAGTTACTAGCTAAGCACTATAAGAGTTGTCTACACAGTTAGCTCTCAGCTTCTCAGGATCAACCTGTTCACACATAATCATCTGTTAGTTAACACTACAGATGTCACAATACGTTGAGTAACATTCTGGGTTACTCCCCCTCAACTGATGTACAGCACATCAGTACACACAACCTGCAACCAACCTGCAGTCACACAAATTCATCCAGCCTGCTCTGGATGTTATGATATTCAGGATGACATCCTGAAGTACACAATCACCTGTGAAGCACAACATCCTATGCTACTCCCCCTAAAGAGGTGCACAACCACATACATTCTGCAAACACCCTGCAGAAACACACCCTACTAGCAGCTACAATACTACTAGGTTCCATCAAGGAACACACACAACTGCATACATACACTCTTTAATCATCAACTAGGAGCTCACACACTTCTAACATACATTCCTACAGAAATTAGGAATTCACACATCATTAACAACGTCAGCTGTTATCACACATGCACATTTGCTTTGAACAAACTTTAGCTAATATTTTAAAATGATATAATTTAGAAAATACCTCATCTTCTTCCTCAGACTTTGAGTTAGAATCTGAGTCAGATTCTGCTTCTGAAGATGTAAGAACCATCGATGCAAGGTTGACTTTCTCTTCATCTTTTTCAGAATCTTCTTTGTTGTCAAGTTCATCTAATGTTGCCAAAAGACTTCTTTTGAATTTGTTCTTGAAGTTATCCTTCTGAAAGTTTCCCTTATTTGGCTTGTCCTTTTGTATTTCAGGACATTCAGCAGTGAAGTGACCAAGCTTCTTAGGTTGAAGCATCCTCTATAATCATCCTTATTTTCTTATGAGCCAGATCCTATAAAGCCACTACTTTTGCCAGAGAATCTTTTTTTCTTCCTGGTCAGATGCTGAAATCTTCAAATGATGAAGGCAAGTTCCTCATCATCCGAGTCATCTTCATAATCTTCTGCTTGAGATGTTTTTTCAAACTCCTAGACTTAAGAATCCTTTTTACCCATATATTTCAATTCAAGAGGCTTTGTCTTTCTAGAAGGTTCATATCCATTAAGCTTCATCTCATAGCTCTGAAGATTATTGATGAGACTCCTAAGTCTTAATGTGTTTAAGTTTTTATCCTCCTCTATAGCTATCACTTTTGGTTTGCATCTGACATGAAGACTCTTATGAATATTCTTTACATGATCAGACATAGTATAACTCTTGTTTAGAACCTAAAGTCCAGATACAAGAACTTGAAACCTATAGAACATGGTTAAAATGTCTTCATCTTCCTTCCTTTTGAACAACTCATAATGTTGAACTAGAAGGTTAGCCTTAACTTCCTGAACTTGTTGATTCCCTTCATAAGTAGCACATAGAGAATTGAAAATGGTCTGAGCAGTAGATTTGTCAATGATTTTGATGTACACTGAACGAGGTAGAGTATCAACCAAGATGCTTTTAACTCTATGATGTTTTCTATAGATATTTTATTGAGCTAGTGTAAAATTTTTTCTATCAGACACCATTCTAACTCCATTGAATGGAATATCAATGCCATTTTCTAGAATATCCCACAACTTCTCATCAAGGCCTATGATATGAGTATACATCTTAGTTTTTCACCATTCAAACTCAGTAGAATCTCCATTGAAAGTTGAAGGTCTAGTTGTATAGTTGTTCTTTTTAGGTTTGATATTATCATGGTTTATAGCAGTATGTGAAGTAGAAGTACCACTATCTTCTCCAAAAACACCAGACATGTTCAATATGTTTTTCTCAGGATCTTTTTTGTACCACTGTTCAGTGTTGAGCACGAACTGTGCTCTGATGCCAACTGAAGGTGATAAAAACACAAGAATGATGGTTGAATTGTGTTGGTTTTTTATTTCTTTTAAAACTCTTAAGTCAGATTCTAAACACAATGTTATATTTGAGTTTGTTAAAGATAGGCAGGGGATATAGCAAGCAAGAAAGAATAACAACACAGAGTTATCCTGGTTCCTCTCACAAATCAAAAGTAGTTCAGTCTCCTTGTATTTATAATATACTTTTACTACAATTAATAAAGATTACAATTTGTTCAAGCACACAAGCAAGAAACTTCTTTGCTTAAACACATAAGTATAAGACTTCATTGCTCAAACACACAAGTCTGAGACTTCCTTGCTCTCACACACACACAAATATGATACTTCCTTGCTCAAGCACGCAAGCTCAAAACTTCCTTGCTCACACACACACACACACACACACACACACACACACACACACACACACACACACACACACACACACACACACACACACAAGTATGAGACTTTCTTGCTCAAGCACACAAGCTCAAGATCTCCTTGCACACACACACACACACACACACACACACACACACACACACACAAGTGTGAGACTTCCTTGCTCAAGCACACAAGCTCGAGACTTTCTTGCTCAAAGACTTAGTAGGAGACTTCTAACAATCTACCTAACCGATAAATGATTATTGAATGAATACACATGACATACAATCAAACGTGTATAAATAATACAACATAATATGACTCACTTAAAACTTAAGAATTTCTAAGATATACAAGGATACAAAAAATCCTAAACATAAGTTGTGATTAAACATTGACAGAGTAGTTTATCTTTAGTTGTCAATCGTTGTTCAACATGTATGCGTGTATCCCATGTACTGTATCTCATAATCTTTAAGTCTTTTAGTTCCTTAAATAATGAGTAAAAGAATAATTGATTATGTAACAGTAGAGTACTTTGAGAAGCTTCAAAAGAGATGTTGGGAGACATTGAGATGTTTCACCAAAATGTAAACTTAGGTGAACCTAGTTTGAAAAATCTTTGATACAATAGGAAATAACAATTATATCCCTATGAAAAATCTAGAGCTTAGGTCATAACATGATAAAATATGTTCATAGATGAATAGAGACCTATCAATGTCACCTTAGTCCTTGTACTTTAACTAGCACATGTTATGATCACCAAAAGCAGACTTCTCCAAAGTTTGTTCTTTAGAAACTAACACCTTCAAAGTCTAATCTTTTAACGTTGACCTATTTGCAAAATGACTTCTTCATAGTTAGTTCTTTATTTATGACACTTTAAAATATGATCTTCACGCTTCTATTTAGATGTTTAAAGTCGGAATTAGTATTTGAGTTTTATATGAATTTTAGTTTATGGTCCTGCACACTTCAACAAACATTAGTATACCCACTTGTTCTTTAAATACTTTGTTATCATTAAAATCCAAAGGATATGAGACAAACCAATTTTGTTCCAACAATATTTTCCTGTTGGGTATGTGACTCTAAAGACTTTTTAAAATCCAAAACATCATTGATTGTGTAGTGTTGGCCTACCGAACGTGCTTGACTTGTTTGGGTTAACGCAAAAACCACACTTAGAGAAGGACCTGTTATGCGTATTGTTGTCTAACAAGTAAATTTACTATTTGAGACAATGTTTTTAAGAAAGATCTGAATCTTCAAAATCACCTTGACCACTGTGTAGCAAGCAATGAGAACTGTCCTAAAACCCAACACATGGACTTAATTAGAACCACCTGACTCCATAATTCTAACTATTAGAGCAACTTTAGCGCATGGTTGTTAAACTAAAATTTTATATAGCTTACGTTAGTAATAAAGAATTTGCATTATAGTAGAACTGACATGACATTTACTGAACTAAAATTTAGTTTCCATTATCTATATAATTAACATTAACTATTCAATGTGAAACATATTATAATATTATTTAATATTAATAAAATATTCCAACAACATTAAATTAATGGTAACTTGAATAAAAAATATAAAATGTGGGATCAAATTTTGATTTCTTATAAACAACCATCATTAAAGTAAAAAACTATTCAAATCAACTATAAATTTTTTAAATCCTACAAAAACACTTTGGGCCCACAAAAAATATCTTAGTTTATCCATTTAATTTACTCCCAAGATGCTCATAGGAAAGCAAATTTTTCTAAGTGAAAGTGCTAACAAACATGCACAAACAGAAAGGAAGCTTCCCATCCATCAAGTTTGTCTTCAACAATCAATCAAAAACTTGAAATCGCTTCTCCAATTTAAGAACTGATCGTATGAGTTGCTGACTGGGGGAATATTACTATAATGCCATGCAGGAAGAAAAAACCAGATGATATGTGTAGTAGCTAGTCAGTGGGCGTGGTAGCAGATCTTAGGATCTTATAAATGAACACAGCATTGCTAGCATCAATCCTATACATCTTTCACCACACCCCTGTACCATGCCCGGCATGTCCTACAAATACAGTGCTTCACCAGGCTGGTAAAGAAATGCAATTCGTTAAATAACTTTACAAAGTAAGGCGCCCTACAAAACATCTAATCACATAACCTTAATCTAGACAACCATAATCAGTTGGACCCCTCAGCTTTGGGGACCGACGACGCATTGTCCCCGGGAGCTGATGCCTTCTTCTGGAAAACTGCCCCAAGCTGAATTCCTGCACTATTACTACTACCCTCAGCTTTGGGGACCGACGACGCATTGTCCTCGGAAGCTGACGCCTTCTTCTGGAAAACTGACCCAAGCTGAATTCCTGCACTATTACTACTACCCTCATGACCATGAGAACTTCCTTGGCTTTCAGCTTTAAGTGCTTTCTTCTTTTTTACCTTCTCTGCCCAACCAACAAGGCCCACTTGCACATGCTCATTAAATATTGCCCTCTTATAGTGAGTTCCCATCTACAATGTGAAAAATAACGAATCAGCAAAACGATTCAGAAAATTGTTCTGCGTGTAAGTTTGAACAGCAGTGCAAAGATACCTGTGTAACAACTGCATAGAGTGGTAAGGTGCTGTAGCTACACAGTACCTGAATAAATACCCTATAACCCCCAACATAAAGGGACAAAAAACATTCAGGGCACAAGCAAATTACATAAGTCATAAATGCACAAAAGAAAAAACAAGTGGTGCAATTACCCAATCACAAGCCTTGGAACAATGTAACGAACTTGTCCCATTATACAGGAGTCAAATCCATATGTAACCTGAGAATACAAGCTAATAGATTATTACATTGAATATAACTAATTCAAAACTTCTCTCAACTCTACAGTATGCCCTTAAAAGATGAAAAGAAAAACAAGAAAAATGGTTGGCAGAGAGCGTTTAAGTTATGCTTCCAAAAAAATTGCTTACCCATATCCAGAAAAAAAACGCTATCTCAAAAGCATTCTGGAAAAGGATAAAGTGAATCAAGAAGAGGACGATGTGAGGCCGATGAAACCAAAAGTGACCATCTGATGGTTTTACAACCAAGTCACCTTCTATGGCTGCATGTTTTTCAGCTACTTCATGAGCTAGCTGGGTTATTACATGTTCCAGCTTCGTTCCCACAGAAAGTAAAAGCTGAAAGGATGTAAACGAGAAACTGTGAAACAAATAGAGAGAGAAACAAGATGCAGGGACAAGACATAATGAAAGGATATTATGAATATAAGGACAGTTAACACATCAATTTTACAAGAAAAAATTATACATGTAGAAAAACATGCCTGAGCAAACAAGATTAACAAGAAATCATAATTGATAGAAAGGGCAACACTGGCAAAAGCATATGACTCTTCTATAACCAAGAGTAAAAATAATAATTGGAAAAGCCATAGAGAAAAATAATTGGAAACTGAGTAAACTAAATGTGTGGTAGTGAAAATGAACAATAAAAAGGCAAAAGTTTTATTAAGGTACTTACAATAACAGGAACGAAAGCAATCCAGAAATATGTATGCCAACCTGAAAGAGTAAAGTAGACATATCAATTGTGAGATTCAAAGTAATATTCTTAGATAACAAACAAAACCAAAAGAAGTTTACTAGTTCCGTAAGTCCTTGTGCACAAAAGTAAATAGGTTAGGGTCTATCTTTGAATAAAAGAATACATGGTATACAAGTACACCAACAACACTGGCCATTTTAGATCAGATAATGATATAAGAAGAAACATAAAGTAGGTTTTGGATGCCAGTCTTGTCACTTTACGGAAGAGTCACGCCACCCATGCACGAGCCAACTAAATGATGACAAGCAATATACATATTAGCATGAAGCATAAATGTATGTCGCAACGCATACCATTGATATTTAACAACAAGAAGATGACCACAAAGAGCCAAAGATACCAACTGCAACCACGAAAATATAATTAGAATTGCTATTACAAAAATCAATAACTTTATGCAATCAGATGAACAAAAATACAGTTTTCTTGACACCTAAACTGATGAATATAGGTGATTATAATATGCATATAAACAACTGCTTTTGACAAAGTTATTCTACGGAAGCATTTACCTTATGCCAACAACTATCTTGAAATCATCTTCAAGGGCACGGATCATGTACTTGTGAAAATCAAACTTTGGGTTTGTCTTGCAGTGACTCTACAACAAAGAAATATACCAAAGAATATTATTATTATGATTTATTTATTGGTGCCGGCAAATAACAGCCAGCTGATATTGTTTGACACCAAATATGGTACAATAGAAGGTTACCATAATGAACCCGAGTCTTAATGTCACATAGTCTGATTTTGTCACAGAACCATAAAACTGCTTGAAAAAGGATTGCTGAAAGAAGTTTGAAAGATTAGTAAAAATAAAAACATGGCACACGCAATCACTTAGATTAGATTATCTAAAAAGTCAGTATCTCTTGTAATATCATTCAAAGAGCACAAAAATCCCAATACAAGAGACAGGAAGATATGAATATACATAAACCAAGACTAAACACTGACAGCCAGCGGGAATAGCAAGGAAACATAGCATTTGTAAAGGCTGCGGACATAGACATCTAGGCTTTGTTTGGGAGTTTAGAGGGGAACAGAGAGGAGTCTTTTGAAAAAGAAAAAAAAGGAAAGATGAAGTTGAATGACTTGATGGGTTTGAGAGGGGATAGTTTATTTTACTCCGTAACACAAAATCCTCTTAATTTAGAGGAACTCAAAAATTGTATTGAAGGAGGGTTTTGGGAAGGCTTAAATAAATTCTTCAAATCCAATCTATGTTGGGATAATAATCTAAATATTAAAAATATATTAATAATAAGTATTTATTTTTCATTCTAGATAGACATAAACTTTTTCCAAAAATAAATTAAAGATTTAACTATTTTTCTCAATACTTATCTCTTTCTAAAGACCTCTCCCCTTACTTCCCCCTCCTAACTTTCAAACAAAGCTTTAAAGATGAGGTCAATACATCTTCAAATGAAGAGAGGGCAGGTAAAAATTATAGACATTGAAAATCTAGTAACTAGCTTACCAACCAACCAATTAGTGGGAATAGCAAGGAAGCATGGCATTTGTCAAGGTTTCAGACATATAAATCTAAAGATAGCATGTTCAACCAAAATTCTAGAGCATGAAAAATTAGTAATAATGAACTTACCAACCAACCAATTAAAGCAGAGTCTTTGCCGAAACCGGAAAAGCGACCTTTGATAAATTCATGATTTTGAACCTGAGTAAACTTTGGTTTGAGAACTGCAAGCATAAATTACAACAGTATAGAGTGTGAAAAGCATAATAATAATAATAATAATAATAATAAGCTAAAGAATGAGCAAAATGAAGGAAGAATTGGATACCTTTACTAGTATCATAATTCTCTTTTTTAATAGAATCTTCCCAGCGCTTCCACTGACGTATCTATGCAATAACAATGACAGATCTATATAAACGCCTAAACAATAAAGAATAATTAAATAAAGAATATGAAAAGAAAAGAAAAAAGAATACTAACTCTGGCGCCTCCAAAAACAACGGTGAGAACTGAAAAAGTAACATGAACGACGGCAAGAACAAAAATGAAGATGTGGAGATGATGCAAAGCTTCAAGAGATAACAAAGGAACCTTGCTCTGAAAAAAAATACGAAATTGAAGATAAATCGATTAGTTAATGATTTAGTGAGTGAGTATATAAGTATAGAAGAAAATGAACCTTGCTGGAGCAGAAAGAGGTTTTGGGATGAGCCTGTTCTGCTGCTTCTGCTTCTGCTAGGAGGCGATCGGCGAGAAGACGGCGTGCGATTCCGGGGAAAGAGAAAGCGGAATGTGATTTGGGAAGTTCAGATTCTTTCTGATCCTTCTCCTGGAGAGTACAAGGAAGCATGTGACGCAATACGCCGGGAGGAACGCATATTTTGGTGAGGGCGTTTTGGGAAACCGTGAGAAGAAGAGAAATGAAACCGAGAAGCATCAACTCTGCAAGTTTCGAATAGAGACATAAATAGTTAGTTAGTTAGTAATTAGAAGAGTATGTAGTTAGTAGTTAGTTAGTTACCTTCTTTGATTTTCTGGAGAGCTTCGTAAAGTGGTTTTTGATCTTTGCGTTTGAGATATTTTCCACCGTAGTGAAGAAGACGCTCCGCAGCGAGGGAAATGGCGACGATTATAGTGCAAACGGCAGCAACAACCCACGTGGGAGTGAACTCGAGTGTTGTTTCATCTTCTCCTTCACCACCGCCACTCATTTTTTTCTCTCTTTCTAAATCTCACCAAAATGGTCACAACCTTTCTCCCTCCTTTCTTTTTTCTTTACTTTCTATCGTAGAGTGGGAACTAAACGTGCCAACCATTATTTTAATTTATTTTGGATTTTTTTCTTTGTATGTCCCACATATCATTGTCATAAAGTATATGTACAGTGACGGATCTCCCCACCTCCCTTTTTTTCCTTAACAGTTGTGTTCAACTTGAATCGTGTATAATACGGAACAAACTCAACCGTATAAATCAATCTATCAATTTGAGTATAATTAATGTTTAATCAACTATTTTACCACTCCTAACGGATACTATCTATTCAAGGCTTGTCTTAAAAATCACAAGTTATAAATAAGTATCCGGTATCCCCACTTAAGCCACCACCTACATGCATTAATATACGATTTTTTTTCCTCTTCTTTTTCACGAATAACGGCTTGTAACATTAAAAGAAAAAGATGATACAAACAAAAGAGCACAAAAAGGAAAGAAAAAAATTCATCAAAAATTGAAAAACTTAAAAAAACGCATATACAATCTAGTCTTTATAAAATCCCCTCTAATCTTAATAGGGATAGTGTAAAAAATAATTGTGTAATTTGTGCTGACTTATATTTGTAAAAAAAAATTGTAAAATTTGTAGGTATGTTTTCCATATTGAAGATTATTTGTGATTTTTGTTTTTCTCTCTCCTCTATTATTAAAATAAATGATGAATGAGAGAAAAAAAAATTCATACATAATCTTCAAAATTTATTTTAAAATCTAATGGTTCAGATTCATTCTCATATTTTTAAATAAACATGACATTCTCATATGATACACTCCTCTTTGTGTTATGTGTGTGTACGTGTGTGTGTGCGCGCGTGTGTGCGTGTGTGTGTGAGTGTGTGATTAGAGATGATAGATGAGTTAGTACTCTCTAGTCATTTTATTTATGAGATTACAAGGAATCAATTTATGGTTGGAGAAAGCTTTGACAACCAATAAGCAATTTGTTTCAATCTAAAACTTTCAGCAACCACGAGACTTTGCGATGTCTATCGCTTCATAACAAACGAAATTTTTGCATTTATCGAAGATCCTATGTGTAAATTTTCAACATAAGCAAGCAAAAAGTCTCAATTGTTATTTTTAAAAATTCTGCCACAACCACTGACATTAGAATTAGAACAAAATGCTTTGTCACGGTTACACTTAAACTGCCTTGGATTAGGATGCGACCAAATAACTTTTGTGATGCTAGGAGCACGAGGCCGACGAAATTGAACATCAAAGGCTTTGATCAAAGAAAAGTCCATAATCGAGATGGAAGAAAGGATTATAGCATTGTTACCGGATAAAGTTCTTTGATTATGAATAAGATTGATGGAGTGTCTTATGTTAGGCCTCAGGTTTTCATGCTTGAACTTATTCCTAGTAGCCCAAATTGCTTAATTGTAAAAATGAAAGCAACCTTCAACATAAGCACGAATTGGTTGGATAAATTTGAATTACAAATCTGAAACCAGTCTTCCATTGAGTTAGGATTTGAGTGAATAACTTCCTTCCTTATGAGCCGATTCCAAAGGGACATTGCAAAGGAACGTTGGAAAAACATATGATATGCACTTTCTTCACTAGAGTTGCACAAAAAGCATATAGAATCCAAACCAATGCCTCTTAACATAACCAGTGATTCTGTATGAATTTTATCATGAGAAAGCCTCTAAACCATCATAGACTTGCTAGGCAGGATGTCACAGCTCCATAAGAGCTTAGTCTAATAACATTAAGCAATTTGACCCTCTTTGAAAGTGTAAGCATCTTTAAGGTTGAGCATCCCTGACACATTATGATTCTAAACCATTTGATCTGTTAGGTAGAAATGATTGAAAAGCACAGCGGGCAGCATGACAACCAAAGTTGGGAACCATTCTGTTAATGCATTTGGTAAACACCAATGACCATCAACTATGAACTTAGAAACAAAAAAGTTTATGTTGATGCCTTTTGAGTTGAGGAAGTCCCTAGAGGTAATGAGAAGAAGCGGTTGGTCGCACTAAGAATCGGTCCAGAATCTAATATCCTTACCATTACCAAGAGACCAACTAGAATTGTTGTCTAGAACTGTGAATTCAGACTTTATACCAGTCCAAATCATAGAGTAGATGTGATAATATAAGAAATCATGATGTGAATTGTGGATTCGGCAAAAGTAAGTCTCCCAACCATTGATAACAAAGCTCCCTTTCAAGTTGATAACTTAGCTGAGATTCTCTCAAAAATAGGAGAAAAATGAATGGATTTTGCTCGACTTTAAAAAATAGGAATCCCTAAATAATTGAAAAGGAAAGATCCTTTTCTGAAGCATGTGCTGGAAATAATCCTCTCTACCTGACAATTGTTGATTGATCCCAAATAAATAAAAGACTTAGCCAAATTAAAACTTTGCCCATAAATAATAGAATATTCATGAAATATATGCTTTAGAGATTGAATGTTAAAAAAATTTCCTATATAGAATATCATAATATCGTCTGCATGAAAAATATGAGAAAGGGAAAAGTTGTTTCTAGAGGACTTTATGAGGTTAAAACCACCTTGATTAACCATATTGGAGATGCCTCTTCTAAGCACATCTTCAACTAGACAAAACAATAAAGGCGACAATGAATCACCTTGTCGCACCGCTCTATTACACTCAGAACACCCGTGTTGCTAGTCGTTGAAGTTAATAGACAAACAAGCAAAAGAAAGTAAGGTATGAATCCAATTATAAAACTTCTGGAAGAAGCCAAACTTGGTTTTAAAAAAATTAAAAACTCCCAGCTTATGGATCAAACGCTTCTGCAATGTCCACTTTCAAAGCCAGATTCCCATGCTTATGCTTGTTGTCCAGAACATTAACTGCTTCAGAGGCAAGGCAAGTGCAATCTTGAATATTCCTCCCTTGGATGTAACCCATGTGCTATTTAGAAACAAGAAAAGGCATTAAAGAGGCGAACTTATATGCCAAAATTTTGGCAATGATCTTGTATTTGAAATTTGAAAGAGTAATAGACCTGAACATATCTAATATTTAAGCATCTTTTGATTTGGGGATCAAAATCATCGTACAAGCATTATTGTTGGCAAATACTGAGAGTTTGATTTCCATGTTTATCCTGATGGTTCCTAGAAGGGTATGAATGACTCTTCATTTTACGGAGTTTCCAGAAGCTTGGATGTTATTCTTGTTGGAAAAATCCAATGATGTTTGTTTTGATTGATTTCTTCATAAAGAATCATCAAAGTTTTATTTTATATGGATGATTTTCTAGTAAGAAGACTTCAATGTCTTGTTTGTGTGAATGATCTTCTGGTAAGAAGACTTCGATGTCTGTAAGTTATATTGATGAAGTTAATTTGAATATTCCTCAATCTCTTTTCCCCATCAATTTTTCATCCCCAGTGAGTCTACACCCACTGTCTTTGACATTTCTTGTGGATCACCTCAATGATATGTCTCCACCACTCCTCACATGTTTGTCCATCATCCATCATAAAAAATTCATGTTACGGATCATTTAATTCCACCTCATATCCCTAGCAAACCCAAAAACAAAAAGAGCCCCTTAAAAACTCATAACATTGCATAACATATCATTTCATCTGCATTCAGGGACAAAATTTGGGTCTTTTTAGTATTTAACTATCTTCCATTGTGATCATATGAAGAGTATTCTCCTTCATATTCTCTGGTCGAAGATACTTAAATATGGGTAGCAGTCATACCCCAATTTTGCCCCTGAATCAATGAATCAATACATTTATCATAATATTTACATCATTTACATATCATGTTTTTCATCTCTCACAGTGCCCAAATTGTCAGTCAGAATAATTTTTCGAATTTACAGATAGACCGGGCTGAATCTTAAATGTACATGAAATCAGTGGACGAAAAATTTCAAAACCGAGCTTGTAGACGTCAATTATATTAATTTACGTTTCACGTAGTTTAACCTGGTTGTCACACCCTAATTTTTGACCTTAAGATTCCACCTCCTTGAATGTTTTCTTATGTTTTATTCTTTTTAGTTTTTATGTGCGACTAACGAGTGTGTGCAGGTTTATTTTGCTTTAAGGACATCTCTAAATCAAGATCTTGGTCCCTTTCAAGTTTTCTCCTTAGTAAAGAAGGATATGCAAGTTTGAACTATATACACCATTCCTATTTGATTAAGGAGCTACTTCAAGTTACGAGTTTCGAAGAATACATTTCTTCATCACTTGTTCATCGTTCAAGGTCCAAGGTCATTTAATTAATTTGTGTCTTTCATGAGAGTTAAAGTAGCACAGAGTCACAAAAGAGGATTTAAAACTCTCACAAGCTCAAAAACCTAAGTTCATGAGGAGTCATAAAACTACTTTTTTTTCATTGCACAAGACCAAGAGGACATATGAGAATAGATTCTAAATACAAATTATCATCCGAAGCATACATGAAAAATCAGAAGAATACTACAAAAGTGAAACTTAAGCCTGTTGATTAACATTGGCCAAGACCCGCTAATACTCATTATTGCTTATACATGTCAAGAATAATCCATTTACATCAAGCCTTTACAACTGGTACTATACGGATTACAAGTCCTGCATCACTAAAGACCTACTTAATTGGATCATTTCTAAAGTATTAGCACCCAGCCCTATACTTTGAGACATTACTGTCACTACCAGGGAAGCTTGCAGATCCATTGAACCTCCTCTTTCACAGCATGAGAAACCGCCTTCCCTCAACTGTTGACAACACCAGTGAGTTCACAATTGTTAGTAGTAAAAAGGTATAACAAATTTACGAGGCATATTCAAGATATTTGTCCAAGAATGTTATAAGACCTATTTGAATTAAAAAGGAAGTTCTTCAATTTGTCCACCAGCATGTCGATCAGCGTGTCCTCGTCGTCATTCACCGCCGAAAGGATGTGTTCCACCAAGAGACATTATTGCTACACAGATTAAA